AAACATGAAAAACTTTCGTAGGACGTATTTTCTTGTAAAGTTCATATTTACTGAGATATCGCACTTTGACGCACTAATGAGCAACCCTGTATATTGAAAGCGTCAAACTACCTACTCCGGTCAGTTCTGAACCATCAAACTTTTCTTGCATTAAACGCATTGTTTATGAGTTCAAACATTAATTACCTTTATTGGGTAATTAGTAAGACACAAATGTATTGTCATATACATAAATAAGTAAAGTCAAATACTTTTTGAGTGCTCCATGTTCTATAAACATTAGTCTATGCGTGTTGTTAGTCTGAATGAGTCTATGCAGTTTACGTTGCACAAATTAGAATCAATAGGACTCGATTAGCCAAAACTCGTCTATTTGCCATAATTTTACATACAATGAAGAAAGCAAAAAATTTTCCGATTTAATGACAATGAGACAAAAATAATCAAATACAAAAACATTTGAATTAAAGAACGTACTAGTATAAAAGCACGTTTTTACCCATATTCGTGTTGTTGAAAACCTACTCAGCCAGACATAATTTTTTTTGTAACTCACCAGCTACAGTTTTCATATAAATTACCTTAAAAATTCACAAGAGCGTTTATTGTGCGTATGTTTATTAACGAAGTGCGGTAATTTTTGACTTCAGGATGGCTTCCACGCAAACTATCCAAGAATGCTTTAGAGGTACTTCATTCAATTTTTGTACACGCATAGGCAATTGAATGCAAGTGGTTTGCAGGTAAAAACTTATTCCTGACCGGAGGAAGTGGATTTATTGGGAAAGCTTGCATAGAAAAATTTCTGCGCTCGTGTCCCGATTTGGGCAAGATTTACATTCTGCTGCGGCCCAAGAAAGGAAAGTCTCTAGAAGAGCGACTCGAGCAAATTACATCCTCACCGGTAAGTAGGACACCTCATCGGTAGAGTGATTAGTCAAATAGTAAAGATTTTTCAAATATACCGACCCTGAAAATTTTAGGGTGTTCAAAACTGCGTTAAGAAAATCTAAAACATTTTCAAAATGTCCCTTGTAGAATTACAAAGGCATATTGCGAAAGCAGCGCTTAAACAAATATTTGCGGAGTATCAGAAAATCCAACTCAAAGACCCAATTTTTAACTACTGCAGTTTAACCGAATTGCGTGATACTTGATTTCTGAACACCATGAGACACCCAGTTTTTCTAACTTTGGAGCTCTCCCAACGGTTTCTCCACCAGTATCGGACGATTGAGATAAAGTAATTGATCGTGAAAATTGAGTTGTACCTAAGAATACAACTGGCGTTCCAAGTCGTGGGAACTATTGAACACAGCGCTGCGTAAAGTACATCAATGTGTATAAACAGAAATTTGAACATCCCCTGTTGCTGCACAGAGCAAACCGCCGCTGAAGATGTAGCCACCCGTGCATGCAAAACGTTGGGAAAGAAAAGAAATTATTTTCCGCAGAGGCCAAAAATACTGAAAAACTCACAAGTTTTAGGCATTGGCTGCGGAAGCCCAACTCTTCTGATAAATCTTGTACAGTCCTAAAGCACATAATGTTTCAGCTGTTCGAGAAACTGAAGCAAATGTATCCTGATAGTCTAAAGAAAATTATTCCCATCAAAGGAGATGTGCTAACACTCGGACTAGGTAAAACGACGTGTTAAGATTTGAACTGGTAACCAATTATGATAGTTTTCCTCTAGGGATATCCGATGCAGACCGAAAGCTGCTTATCCAGGATGTGCACTTTATTTGCCATACAGCAGCATCTGTTAGGTTTGACGACTTTCTAAAAGAAGCCATTTTCAGCAACATAAGAGCCGCCAGGGAAGTGGCTCTATTGGCGCTGGAAATGAAAAATATCCAGGTTTTCCTGCACATATCGACAACATATTGCAACATAGATGGTAAAACGGTAAATAGTTTTTCTTCCCAGAAAGCCAGTATGTGATGAGTGTCTGATTTTAAATGAAATTAATGGAATCTTCGTGAAGTGCAGTGAGTCTTGACGTGAAGAACATCTATTGCACATTCTTATTCGTTTGCTCATAAGACAAAGTCGCGAAGAGGGCTGGCTGCCTTGTAGAATGTTCTAAACTCATTTCGATTTGTAGATAATATAAATCCACTGATTTCAGGTAGTGGATGAAATCCTCTACCCTCAGCATGGCGACTGGAAGGAGGCAATTCGCGCTGCTGAGTCAATTGACAATCATACGCTGAATGTGCTCACACAAAAATTCATAGAACCTTTTCCCAACACGTACACCTACACAAAACAACTGGCAGAACATTGTATTAACGACATGCTAGTGGGAAAAGTGCCTGCCATCATCTGCAGACCTTCAATTGGTAACAGTCAAGCTAGCAAAGCTAACAAATTCACACAATAGCAACCGAAATTTTTAGTGATCAGCACCTTGGTGGAACCTTTCCAGGGCTGGAATGACAACTTCAATGGACCTGTAGGACTGCTGTTGGCTGGAGGGGCTGGAATCCTCAGAACAGTCTATGCAGATCCCGGGTTCAATCCAGATTACTTGGCAGTAGATAATGTGATCAAGATCATTATTATGGCTTTGTGGCACAAGGCAGTTTTAGGGTAAGGAAGTTTCGAGAGTTTGGAACTAATTACTAGTTTAAGGTAAATAACTGGCCATGAATTTGTTTCGAAAACATTAAATTAATAACGAATCTAGACTTTTAAAAAGAATCTAGACTTTTAAAAAGAATCTAGACTTTTACATAATAAAATTTATGATCTTTAAATTGATTACCGAAACTGCTTGTTATGATCTGCGTTGTGCTTTTGACGATTTTGCTGCCATAACCGTTCTTTAGTGTCTTCAGCGTTAATATTTACAGGGTTTCTACTCAATACTTTCCATAAATTTCTAGACGTACGGTGTCAAATGCGTTAGTGAGATCCACAAACACATAGATGCATTTTATTAGTATCACATGTGTTATGAGGGGACACTAGTCCTGTGTTATTAATCAAAGATTGTCGATCTGCCGGCTCTAAACTCTGCTTGTTCTTCTATGTCCAAATGATATTATTCTTCTTGGGTTCAGAACTTTATAATTTTGCGGAATATCTATTGGTTTGCCTTCATTCTAATGTCCATTCTCTATAGGTTCATGTCATGCAATCCGTATTTCGTTCGTTTATTAATGCATCGCCATTCATAGAGAATGGTTTAGTATATACATACATACAGGACTACGCGTCTTGATCAGGCACATTATTCGAAGTTAAAATTGTTCTCATACTTCATTAATAACATACAGGTTATCAAAGTTTGGGATTTGTAGTAGCTAACTTTGGAATGTGTTCACCCTATATATGAGTTTATGTTAACACACTTTCATCCAAACAAATCGCTTTTGTCAGTATATAGTTACCTTCGGAAGTGTGCATGTTCTACGATTAAATAAAACAGCTGTTTTCAGACAAAAATCCAGCCTATCCATATACCAAGCTAGCACATATAAGGAAATGTTGATGAAGCCCAACTATCTGGCGGAAACGGGCAGGAAATTGTACTGGGACGTCCCCTTTAAGAAAAACATTTGGTACCCGGACGGTTCAGTGACCAAGTATTTCCATATTTTCTATATCAAAGTGCTTCTCTACCATGTACTGCCCGCTCTTTTGGTCGACTTTCTGATGCTATTGGCCTGCCGAACTCCATTGTGAGTATCGTTCAGCTCACTTTGATGCAATAACAATTTCAGGTTTTATCTTCAGCTTGCTCAAATTGCAAAGGAAGATCTACATTGCCAACATAGCGGTGAGTCACTTCTTGTTAAAGGAATGGCTGTTCGTGAACGACAACAGCAAACGACTTTATACGTACCTGCCAGATGAAGACAAAGATGCATTCAACATCAATCAATTGCCATTAACTGAAGACGACCTATACAAGTATTACGCCAATTGTTGTGATTATGCTAGAAGGTATTTGCTCAAAGAATACGATGACATTATGGAAGAAACGCGAACTAGGAACAAGAGGTAAAGTGGCTGTATGCATTCAATTTGTGTCTTCAAGAGTATTTTTTAGAATGTATTTCCTGCATTGCTTGACCAAGTTTCTGTTCTATAGCTGGATGGCCTGGATTGTATTTTACAAAATAAACGTAGTGAAGATCCTACTGATTTCGCTTCGCGACTATTGGAACAGTTTATAAGATTTACTGCCCTATTTTCCCACTATTTTTTAAGTTTGCTAATAAATCATGACTGCTGAGATACTTTTCTTTACTACATTGTCTTTTTTGAAAATGCTGAATTTCTTGCAACACCATCTATGAGTATTACGAAA